AGGGAATGCTTCCAGTTTTTGCCCATTCAGCATGATATTGACTGTGGGTTTGTTGTAAACAGCTTTTATTATTTTGAGATACATTCCATGGATACCTATTTTATTGAGAGTTTTTAGCATAAAGGGCTGTTGAATTTTGTCACATACCTTCTCTGCATCTATTGAGATAATCATGTGGTTTTTATCTTCGGTTCTGTTTATGTGGTGGATTACGTTTATAGAGTTGTGTATGTTGAACCAGCCTTGCATTCCCGGGATGAAGCCTACTTAATCGTGATGGATAAGCTTTTTGATGTGCTGTTGCAATTGGTTTGCCAGTGTTTTATTGAAGATTTTTGCATCTGTGTTCATCATGGATATTGTCCTGAAGTTTTCTTTGTTTTGTTGAGTCTATTCTGGGTTTTGGTATCAGGATAATGTTGGTCTCATAAAATGGTTTGGGAAGGATTCCCTCTTTTTGGATTGTTTGGAATAGTTTCAGAAGGAGTGGTACCAACTTCTCTTTGTATGGCTGGTAGAATTCGGCTCTGAACCCATCTGGACGTGGGCTTTTTTTGGTTGGTAGACTCTTAATTGCTGCCTCAGCTTCAGCCCTTGTTATTGGTCTGTTCAGGGTTTCAACTTCTTCCTGGTTTATGCTTGGGAGGGTGCAAGTGTCCAGAAATTTATCCATTTCTTCCAGGTTTACTGGTTTGTGTGCATAGTTATTTATCATAATCTCTGATGGTAGTTTGTATTTCTGTGGACTCGGTGGTGATATCCCCTTTATCGTTTTTTATTGCATCTATTTGATTCTTGTCTCTTTTCTTTTCTATTCATCTGGCTAATGGTCTATTTTGTTGATCTTTTCAAAAAATCAGCTCCTGGATTTATTGATTTTTTGAAGGTTTTTTTGTGTCTCTATCTCCTTCAATTCTCATCTGATCTTAGTCATTTCTTGTCTTCTGCTAGCATTTTAGTTTTTTTGATCTTGCTCCTCTAGCTCTTTCAATTTTGATGATAGGGTGTCAATTTTAGATCTTTCCTTGCTTCTCATGTGGGCATTTATTGCTATAAATTTTCCTCTTGACGCTGCTTTAAATGTGTTCCAGAGATTCTGGTATGTTGTGTCTTCATTCTTGTTGGTTTCGAAGAACATCTTTATTTCTGCCTTTATTTCATTGTTTATCCAGTCAACATTCAAGAGCCAGTTGTTCAGTTTCCATGAAGTTATGTGGTTCTGAGTTAGTTTCTTAGTCCTGAGTTCTAATTTGGTTGCACTGTGGTCTGAGAGACTGTTTGTTATGATTTCCATTCTTTTGCATTTGCTGAGTAGTGATTTACTTCCAATTACGTGGTCAGTTTTAGAATAGATGTGATGTGGTGCTGAGAAGAATGTATATTCTGTGGATTTGGGGTGGAGAGTTCTGTTTATGTCTGTTAGGTTTGCTTGGTCCAGATCTGAGTTCAAGTCCTGGATATCCTTGCTAATTTTCTGTCTCATTGATCTGTCTAATATTGACAGTGGAGGTTAAAGTCTCCCACTACTATTGTGTGGGAGTCTAAGTCTCTTTGTAGGTCTCTAAGAACTTGCTTTATGTATCTGGGTGCTCGTGTTTGGGGTGTGTAGGATATTTAGGATCGTTACCTCTTCTCCTTTTACCATTATGTAATGCCTTTATCTCTTTTGATCTTTGTTGGTTTAAAGTCTATTTTATCAGAGACTAAGATTGCAACTCCTGTTTTATTTTTGCTCTCCATTTGCTTGGTAAATCTTCCTCCATCCGTTTATTTTGAGCCTATGTGTGTCCTTGCATGTGAGATGGGTTTCCTAGATACAGCACACTGATGGTTTTTGAATTTTTATCCACTTTGCCAGTCTGTGTCTTTTGATTGGGGCATTTAGTCCATTTACATTAAGGTTAATATTGTTATATGTGAATTTCATCCTGGCATTTTGATGCTAGCTGGTTGTTTTGCCTGTTAGTTGACGAAGTTTCTTCATTGTGTCGATGCTCTTTACCATTTGTTATGTTTTTGGAGTGGCTGATAGTGGTTGTTCCTTTCTGTTTACTGCTTCTTTCAGGAGCTCTTTTAAGGCAGGCCTAGTGGTGATGAAATCTCTCAGCAATTGCTTGTTCGTAAAGGATTTTATTTCTCCTTAGCTTAAGAAGCTGGATATGAAATGCTAGGTTGAAAGTTTAATCTTGGGATGTTTAATATTGGCCCCCTCTCTCTTCTGGCTTGCAGGGTTTCTGCTGAGAGCTCCACTGTGGGTCTGTTGGGCTTCCCTTTCTGGGTAACCCGACCTTTCTCTCTGGCTGCCCTTAGCATTTTTTCCTTCATTTCAACCATGGTGAATCTGACTATTATGTGCCTTGGGGTTGCTCTTCCTGAGGAATATCTTTGTGGTGTTCTCTGTATTTCCTGGACTTGAATGTTGGCCTGTCTTGCTAGGTTGGGGAAGTTCTCCTGGAAAATATCCTGAAGAGTGTTTTCCAGCTTGGATTAATTCTTTCCATCACATTCCGGTACACCTATCAAATGTAAATTAGGTCTTTTCACATAATCCCATATTTCTTGGAGGCTTTGTTCATTTCTTTTCACTCTTTTTCCTCTAATCTTGCCTCCTTGTTTTATTTCATTGAGTTGATCTTCAGTCTCTGATATCCTTTCTTCTGCTTGGTCGATTCAGCTATTGAAACTTGTGTATGCTTCACGAAGTTCTTATGTTGAGCTTTTCAGCTCCATCAAGTCATTTATATTCCTCCCTAAGCTATTTATTCTCATTAGCATTTCGTCAAACCTTTTTTGAAGGTTCTTAGTTTCTTTGCATTGAGTTAGAACATGCTCTTTTAGCTCAGAGAAGTTTGTTATTACCCACCTTCTGAAGCCTGTTTCTGTCAATTCATCAAACTCATTCTCCTTCCAGCTTTGTTCCTTTGCTGGTGAGGAGTTGTGATCCCTTCAAGGAGGAGAGGCGTTCTGGTTTTTGGTGTTTTCATCTTTTTGTGCTGGTTTCTTCCCATCTTTGTGGATTTATCTACCTGTGGTCTTTGTAATTGGCGACTTTCGGATGGGATCTCTGAGTGGACGTCATTTTTGTTGATGATGAGATTATTTCTTTCTGTTTTTTTAGTTTTTCTTCTAACAGTCAGGCCCCTCTGCTGGAGGTCCACTCCAGACCCTGCTTGCCTGGGGACTACCTGCAGCGGCTGCAGAGCAGTATGGGTTGCTGCCAGTTTCTTCTTCTGTTATCTTCATCCCAGAAGGATACCTGCTAGATGTCAGCCTGCGCTCTCCTTTATGAGTTGTCTCTTTGGATATATGGGAGTCAGGGAGCTGCCTGAGGAGACAGTCTGTCCCTTACAGGAGCTGAAGTGCTGAGCTGTGAGCTCTGTTTTTCTGTTCAGAGCTGCTGGGCAGGTACATTTAAGTCTGCTGCAGCGGAACTCATAACTGCCTTTTTTCCTGAGGTGCTCTGTCCCAGTAAGGTAGGACTTTATTTGTAAGTTCTTGATGTTCTGCTGCCTTTTTTTCAGAGCTGCCCTGCCCAGCAAGGAGGTAGCCTAGTCATAGTCTGCCAGCAGAGCATTGCTGCGCTGCTGTGGGCTCTGCCCAGCTGCTGTGTCAACATCCTTGCAGTTTTGTTTATAGAGTTAGAGTTAGAACTGCCTCAGTAATGGCGGACTGCCTTGGTAATGGCAGACACCCTTCCCCCCACAGAGCTGGACCGTCCTGGGTCCAGCTGTGCTTGCTGTGAAACTCTCAATCCAGAGTGTTTCAGACTGCTGGTCTTTGTTGGGGTGGGACCCACTGAGCCAGATCACTTGGCTCCCTGTTTCAGCCCCCTTTTTTTCAGTTGAATGAGCAGCTCTGCCTCCCAGGCGATCCAGGTGGCAGTTGAAACGGTCACCCAGATTTGTGTGAGTTTCTGTGCAGAGACCCGCTGTGCCGGCTGAAACAGCCGTGCAGGAAACTCGTGGCACTTTCCAGCCTGGGAATCTCCTGGTCTGCGGGCAGTACTAACTCGTTTGGGAATGTGGTGAGCACTCACCCTCTGTGGTGTTTTCACTGGAAACTGCACTCCAGAGCTGTTCCTGTTGGGCCATCTCGGATCCCCCTTTGCTGTTATTTTCATAAAGATTGAGGGGAGCCAAGTGGATGTTCAGTCTGTCAGTGTTCAAGGAGACAGTTGTCTGTGATGCTTTCTACTTAACTCATTTCGTTGACTGTTTCTCCCCTTTCATTTCCCAAGTTTCAGCATATCCTTCTGAAAACTCTCTCCCAGAGCATACTCTCCACCTGTTTGAAACCAAACTCAGGTTTATCTGCTTGCCCCTCAAAAAGCCAGACACGTGAGAAGTGAAGTTTTGTTTATGGAAGTGCCGACAGCTTGGGAGATAGCCAGAATCAAGTCCCAGAAAGCCGTCTCAAATTTTCAGGCTGGCCAAAGGGGCTTTACGGTGAAAGGTGGCTTGAAAACTATGCGCAGGAGTGGCATGGGGTGCAGATTTGTTGGCTGTTTTCTGATGACTGCCTTGAGTCATGGACCATTTGGAGGTCTGGTTGGTTTCCTCTTGGCAGGGGTTGGGTTATGGATTAATCGCGTACCAGTTTCTTCTCGGAAGGGAGAAAATGGCCCCACCACCTTTGCTTCATGCCTGGATTGTTTCAAGATGACCCTTTGGAATTCTCAAACAGAGCAGGTAGTTAGATGTATGTATAGCAAGAAACAAAGGGAGGGAACAGTTACTTTTAGAGTAAGCTAGCCAACTGGCTGTACCGGTCACACGTTCATCTTTCATTCTTGGTGTGTGTGCCTCAGTTTCCTCACATTTGAATATGATGATGATATTCTACATTCCTTTCCGTTTCCTAAGGGCAGTAACTCAAATCTGCCTTTTAAAATGCTTCTGAATGGTTACTGTATAGGCAGCAGTCTCCATGTTTATATTTTGACTGATTGTGCTGGAACTTACAGTAGAAACAACAGATCTGTGTTTTGGTTTGAAATACAGGAAATGGTCAAGAAGAGGCTCAGAGTCACATGAGCTTAGTGAAGGGGGAGATGAAAAGAAAAAGCGAGATTCTCGGAAAAGTGGTGGCTTTCTCAATTTGATCAAATCCCGGTCCAAGTCTGAGCGGCCGCCAACAATCTTGATGGCAGAAGAACCCTCTTCACCGAAAGGGGCGGTCAGAAGTCCAGCTGTGGACAGTCCCAAGAAGGACACAAAGGCTACCGAGCACAATGGCAGCTCTGAACGGATAGAGGAGATAAAAACACCTGACTCCTTTGAAGAGACTCAAGGGGAAGACACGGGGAAGGTGGAACGGAGCGACAGCAAGAGCAGCCCACAGGGAGGGCGGAGGTATGGGGTCCAGGTGATGGGCAGTGGTCTGCTGGCGGAGATGAAAGCCAAGCAAGAGAAGAGAGCTGCGTGTGCACAGAAGGTAAGAGTGGGTCTGTTTTTAATTCATTCGTTCATTCATTTGATATATAATAGTTGCACATATTTTCATGGTGCATGTGATATTTTGATATATGTCCATCATCTTAAAGCATTTAACTTTTCTTTATGCTGGAAATATTCAAATTATCCTCTTCTAGCTATTTTGAAATAGATAATAGGTTATTTTTAACTAGAGTTACCCTACTGATCTGTCCAGTAGTAGGTCTTATTACTTCTGTCTACTGGGGTTTTATACCCATTTTGTACCTCTTTTCATCTCCCCCCACACCCCCACACTTCCTGCCCTCTGGTCACCCCCAGTCTCCTTGTCTTCGTGAGATAAATGGGAGTTCATTTTTGACTTGGTGGTCCTCGTTCGTATTTTTGCCCTCATTTGACTTTTTTTTTTTATGTGAGCAATAAAAATTGCCTGTTGGTTAAATACAAAACCAGAACCAGAACTTGCTGCGAAAGAACTTGGAGCACAGACCCCAAAGAAATGGCCATGTTTCCACTTTGGCCGGAGGGTAACACTCTGTGGAGTGCTGGCATTCTAAGGTAGGCTTTGGAGACTCCAGGCTTTTCCCGTCTGCCCAGGAGCCTCCTGTGCCTGTTGTGGAAGCATGTCAAAGATGTTCCGGGTTGGGGGAAACGCTCACATCTGGGGGAAACGCTCACATCTGGGGGAAAACACAGTCAGCTGAATCTAAATGGAAGACTGAGGGTAATATTGAAGATAGGTGAACCAACAGAGGGAAATGAAAATACTGAAACTAGATGACATATAAAAATGAAAACTATTTTCTAACTTACTCCCTTTTCACACCAAAAAATTGTTCTCTTTTCAAACCTGAGAATACCTTGCTATATTCCGGATTTAAAAGACAAAGGGAAAAACAGTCAAGGTATTGGAATTCATTGAATATTTGACCATTGATATATATCATCTGTTGCGACAAAGGAAAACTTCATGGTTTAAAATTTGCTGAGTTCCCCAAAATCCGACTGAAAACATTATTTATTCTTTGAGCCTTCTTTTATAGTATGTCTTTTTTTCTTTCTTTTTCACCTGTTTGCTCCTGTCACTCTGTGAAGAATTGTGTCTGTGTGATAAGGTGAACATATCCATGTTTAAGTCAGGTTATGATTTCTGTGCATTATCATGAGCTCTTTGATTTTTATACAACTGGTGCTTCAAAGAAAGGAAATCACATGTGTGTTTATTTGAAGTATCACAATAAAATCCTTCATCCTGATGAGCCCTGGACTTTCAGAAAGTAAACAATAAGCTACATACCAGGTGTAGGGAGCTCTTTTATATTGCTTCTAAACAACCAGTGTTTAAAAATTAAACTGCACTTCCCACCTCATCTTACAACTTTTCACCACAGTTCTCCCACCAACAGCAACATTGTTTAGCAATTCTGTAATTGCAGATCCCTCCCAACTCACTGAGGAACCTTAGAGTTGGAAGAGAAGGTAGAACTACATTCTGCTCACTCAGCAAAGGAGGCATGGTGTGGCCTTCGCTGGTCAGAATTCTGGGTAATACTACAACCATGTCCTTAGTGAGCCAGATGCCCAAGGAAATGTTTACCTTTTGATCCATTTTGTGAATGTCTTTATAACAATGAATGTGCGGTTTTCATTAATATGCTGTGTATTTTCAGTTTTTCATGGTGAATGGCTTTTTTTGGTGTAAAGATGACATGTGCTAGAGTGCTTTATTCATGCACTTTGGATTTGACATATAAATTGGCTTAAAGTGACAAAATCCTTATGGTTTTATTTTTGTTTAGGGCTTACACAGTGTTAATGATCTCTTAACGCCACCTAGTGTCAGTTTAAACAACCATTGTGAAGAATTCTCGCTGTTTAAAATTCAGACCAATCATGGGTCTTCTGTCAAAATCATAAAATAATAAAGCTTTTCAAAAATTAGCTTTAGAACATTTTTTTCCTAAAGTGCCATGACTGTATTCTTTATAAAGGTAGCAACAGTTAGCATCAGTGATCAATATACTGTTGATAAACGGTATGATGTCTTCACCCTCCTCTGAGTAATTCTTTTTGCATTGTTGGCATTTGATATATATACTTAAAGAAAAAGAACTGTAAGTATGGAGACATGACTTCCATTTATTGATAACAGAGAGAAACAGGCAGCGAATACTTAGGGTTCATGTATTTTTCTCTGAGGCCATCAAGTCATCTGTTTACATGCAGAGGCAATGGGCGTTATATTGTTTTATCCTTATTCCTACAATCATTTTGGGATTTATAAATAACTCTAAAAATCTGGGAGGAAAAAGAAAACAAATCCCTGGGTTGTTTTAGAGATGCAGGGAAATGAGGTGCCCCGGGTACAGAATTTAAGGAGGTCCTCACGCTCAGATGCCCACCCTGCACTTGATGGGACCTGAAAGGGAAGGATGGGTAAGGGGACTTCATGGATGGTCCCCAGCCCTGTCCTGCAGACACTTGTCGTGGGCACAGAGGGCTGGCATGGGGCTTCCTTTTTGGGAATCACTTTGCCGTAATGATGCCAAATAATGTGCCTATTTTAGCTGCAGTGCTTGTGTACACATTCGCTCCTGGAGACCTGCTCACACCTTGCACTCATGACAGTGGAACTTCTGTCATCTTCCTGAGAAATTCCTCAGCCTTCCCGTCACTTGGGTGCTTCCTTCTGATAGGGCCAGTGTTCCTGGGGAATGTGTGGCCGGCGGTAGAGTGATGAATTCAGGGAGTGAGGCTTATCTCACCTACATTTCAAACAATCCTTCCTCTGTCATCAAACACAGTTTAAAGCCAGGAATTGGCTGCAGAGCTTTTTAGGTTTGTCAGAAGCATGAGATAAGCGGGAACCAGCAGTCTGAAGGTCAGACTGCCTTGGGAATCATCATCCCTCCTGGTCGACTGGTCCACCTTGTTTTTGCTTGTTAGACAAGAGCTAGATGTTGACCACCTTTGTCAGTATAATTCTTAGATATTATGAAGCAAACACCAGAGTTTGCTTTGTATGTCTTTTTTTTTTTTTGTATCTAAATGCCTCAGTCTAGTGTAGACTTTCTAAACTTTCCACTCCTACCCCAAGACAGTGGCGTTTCACTTTCCCACCATCACCATTTTCACTGTCACTAATTCCTTCCACCTGCAGATTTTTAAAACATGTATTCAGTCCTGTTCATCTGTATATGCCTCCTAAATAATCGATTTGTTTCCTGTGGTTCTGCCTCAAAGCAAGGAAGACCCTCCTTATTTCAGGACCCTTTTCACCTGTATTATAATTGAGGCTGGAAAGGTTTCTGCAGCTTTGGAAATTAGAGGTTTTTTTTTTAATAGATAAGATTTTGCTCTGTATCCCGGCTGGAGTGCATTGGTGTGATCCTAGTTCACTGCAGCTTTGAACTCCTGGGATCTGTCAGGTGATCCTCCTGCCTCCGTCTCCTGAGTAGCTGGGACTTCAGATGCATACCACCATGCCTGGCTAATTTTTCATTTTTTTTTTTTTTTTCGCAGAGATAGGGGTTTCACTATGTTGCCGAGGCTGGTCTCGAACTCGTGACCTCAGGCGATTCTCCCATCTCAGTCTCCTGAAGTGCTGAGATAGATTACAGGCGTGAGCCACTGCACCCAGCCAAAACTAGAATTTTGGAAACCAAACCTAGAGCAGGTTCTGTAAATTTCTAGTGTGTAAGTGCCCTCATCACATGAAGCATCAGGAGCTGCAAAGCCTGCAGAGATGTTCAACAAGAAAAACAGGAAAGGTCACCAAGCTCACTGACTTTCCCCGGCCCCATACACCTGTCACCCGTGAGGGGGCTTCCGAGGAACCAAACAGGCCACTCTTTGGACCCAGGAGCCCCAACTGTAAACACAGAATAGAATGTACTTCTCACAGCTTTGTCCCAGCAGGAGAGCCTACAGAGATGGGTCAGGCACAGTCACCATGACAGCAGCTGAGTGACTGTGTCATGGTGTCATTTACTGTCATTTACTATCTGCTCTGCTTTTTCACTTTTGCATTAAATAAATGTGCATTTTTGGGGGGGGGTGCTTGAATTTTTTAGAAGCTTGGGAATGATGCCGTATCCCAGGATCCTTCCAGCCCAGCCTTGAGCAGCGGAGAACGGTTGGACGGAGTTGGGGCAGGTAAGTCAGGCCATTGCCTTCACCCCCTTAAGAAAAGCACTAACCTTCTGATTGCAGAAGTCACATGTGATTGACAGAAGAAAAATTTAAATGGGGAGCAAGAACTGATCTCTTTGTTGTGCATTCTCTGAAAGACCACATCCCTTTGCCTGCCCCACCTTCCCGTGGGGCGCATCCTGTAGCCTTGTGCCTGGACAGGGCACTTTTTGATTTCCCAAAGGGAGAAAATTCTGCTTTTTCATTGCAAACTCTTTAACTTGGAGCATTTTGGCAAAGTTGGGGGTGGGAGCGGCACACAGGATCATGCCTGATGTATTTAAGGATAAGCCGCGCATGATATATGGAAGGTGGGTGGCTGTCTTGTTTGGTATGAACAGTATGCTTCCCTTGCAGCTTGAATGTGCATGAAATCCAATATCCCTTGTTCCTCTAACTTTTTAGGTCTAATAGAATAAGAAAATATCTTATGAAAACTGGAGTGTCATGTATTAATTATGTGATAGAATCCTCATTTTGCTGTTTGAGATTCCTATGCTTAGCTACAGTATCTTTGTGCAGTAAGAGTTGGATGATAAATCCCATTTCATGGGCTTATTTTTGCTAGTTGTCTTGTTAAATTAAGGCAGCAGCGTGGATGGAGGTGGGGAATGAGATGACATTTCTGGAGCTGTTCTCACTAAACATGAGATTGCAGCCAACAACATCACCCTCCTCACTCAGAACCTACAGCCAGAGCCCTAACTGCTTGCTGTCCAGAACCAAGGCACTTACATTTGGTTATGCCTGTACCTGTGCCAGGTCTGAGAAAGACCTGGACGCTTCAAATGCAGGAAGAACCCCTGCTTTCCTTGTGTGTGATTACGGCACTGTACGCTATTAAGTGTGAAAGTTTGTCATCTCCAGAATAGTCAGGGGTGATCAGAAAAGAACCAAAAAGTTTATTCCTTTTCTACAAAGACTGTTACACTTCCTTCAGATGTTTTGGTTTTAAAAACATGCTACAACTGCATACTCTGTCTTAAAATATCTGTGATGAGAAACGATGGCAAATGATTATAGCAGTTTGTACCAGACTTCTAGCTTCAAGTTATTGGCTGCTTTGAGCTTTGATTTTTTATAGTGTCCTTTTTCATCTTAGTGCCGAAACTGCACCCAGGTCTTCCAGAGAACCGCTTTGGTTTGGGAACACCAGAAAAGAGCACCAAAGCAGAGCCCAGAGTGGAAGCAGGCTCCAGGTCTCGTAGCTCGTCCGGCACACCTACCAGCCCGAAGCCCCTCCTGCAGTCCCCCAAGCCCAGCCTGGCAGCACGGCCCCTCATCCCGCAGAAACCAAGAACAGCCTCACGGCCTGGTAAGAGTCTTGCAGTTAGGGAGTTGCATTGTGACTGGGTGGCTTCCCAGAGCCAGCTGGATCAGACCCTGCAGCTGGTTTCAGGGTCTGCTGGTGAGCAAGGTACATCAGCATCTGCAGGAAGGGATCAGAAGAAACCTGTGCAAAGATGTGCAAGTGACGAGAGCGGAGGGATTCCTTTCTTCAAGGCTGAGGCCCACCGTGTATGAAAGCTGGGGACTCCGAGACTGTCCTTGTTTTCAGGGGTACAGGCTGGTTAGTAGGCAACACAGGGAAATCAGCCTTTTGTCACGTTGACCCATCCTCAGTGCTTGGCTTGGTGTTCAAATCTCTGTCTCCAGCGTGTTCAGACACCTGGAAAAGCAGCAGTTCAAGGATGAAGGCTCCAAATGGGGAAAGCACAAGCTCTTCAGTTTTTATGCCATATTCTGTGATCTATCAAGGGGTTGAAACAAGACCGGGCAAACAATGGGCCTGTTTTTGTAAATAGTTTTGCTGGACGCAGCCATAGGATTTGCATTGGTGTCATCTGTGGCTCTGGCTGGCTACGGTGGCAGAGTGGTGTACTTGCAAGAGGGTCACATGGTCTGCAGAGTGTAAAATATTTACTCTTGGGCCCTTTACAAAAAAGTTTGCTGACTGTTAGTTTAGAGCATCAAATGATAGAAGAAATTTAAAAAGATTAGAAATTGATTGGCCTTCACCTTATTCTCTCCTGCGCAGAAGAAGGCCAGGTGTGGTCGTGCACACCTATAGTCCCTGCTACTTGGGAGGCTGAGGTGGGAGGATCACTTGAGCCTGGAGTTTATGCTGTAATACAGTGATCAGACCACTGCACCCCAGCCTGAGTGACGAGACCCTATCTTTTTTTTTTTTTTAAAGAACATGTTAGGGTTTTTTTTTTCTTTTAACTTTGCATTATAAGAATTTTCAAACATACACAAAAGTAGGATAGGTAATATAATGAAACTTGTATCAGTTCTTTAACTCTTCCCCTTGTTCTCCCACAAAAATAAGGCAAACAGGGATAAAAAATATTTGGTCAACCATCATGGCTAATCTTTGAGCACTTAGCTGTGTCCTTGGTGCTGTTGTAAGTGCTTTATGATGAGCTCTCAGTATCCTCATCCTCATCACTGCTCTGTCTTACCAATGAGCAATATGAGGCACAGAGATACTGAGTTTGCCAAGCCACGCAGCTGCTGTGTCTGTGCAGCCGCCAGATGCTCGGACTCCACCAGCTGTCATGGTAACTGTGTTTCTATTGACCTCTCCCCCATGGACATGCATTTTGTAAAGTAGGATGCACAGCTCACCAGATGTCTTGGTAACTGTTTCTATTGACCTCTCCCTCATGGACATGCATTTTGTAAGGTAGGATGCACAGCTCACCCTAATAATTGATCAATGTGCAGATGATTTGGGTAGAATGAGAAAAAAGGTAGAATCCTGCGTGTCCAGACTTCTTCCACTGTGGGTCTTTCCCATATTCCCTCATGTATTTTTTTCATTTCCCTAGTGGCCAGCTTGGATGATACTCCCTGGCCTTCATAGCCCACTGATGCCTTGAGAAAACCAGTGACCCATCTCCAAAGAGAAGCCGCAAAGAAAGGACTATACTGGCTTTACCTCAGGGGACGAAGCCTTGAAGCAAACCCCTTAGGACTTCCTAATTTTACTCAAAACTTTTTCACAAACAAAACACCAAAAATTTCTTGGTACACACAAAATGTCATCATATAGAAGGAGTGGGGAGAATGGAGGCAGAGAAAATAGAAAAATTTTTTAATGGAAAGCAAATAAGTACTCAGAAGGAGGCTTGCTCCTAACCTTGTCATCAGCTAGGTGTGCCTCTAGTCTGCAGTTAAGAAATAGTTCTTATAAAATGAATCTAACCTGGTCTGTAGGGTACAGTGGGCCCCTCTTATCCAAGGTTTTGCTTTTTTCAGTTTTCATTTATTCATGGTGCAGTACAGTAAAATACTTTGAGAGAGAGAAAGACCGCATTCAGATAACTTTTATTACAGTATATTGTTACAACTATTCTGTTATTGGGTTTTACTGTTAATCTCTTACCGTGCCTTATTTATACATTAAACTTTATGATAGGTGTGTAGGAAAAACACAGCTTCTGTAGGATTCAGTACTATCCGGCTTCAGGCATCCCCTGGAGGTCTTGGAGTGTATCCGGTGTGGATAAAGGGGGACCACTGTATATTAGCTCCCCATTTTCTAATACTGAATATAAAACTAGCTGAATCCCCAGTGTTCTGCTGCGAGAAGTTTTGTTTATTTACTGAATGTGTTCATTTATTTCATAGCTCTTAGTCTGTCAAGAATGATGTTAGGAAATTTACGTTTTTATAGAGCTTGAGACATTTTCAAAAACACCATCGCATTCCCGCTCCACCACAGCTCTGACAGGTTGTGAAGGTGGCCTGCGTCATCTTCACCTGTCTTTTCACATCCCTGCTTATTTGGTTAAGCAAGTCGGCGACTGGAAGTGTAAGACCGAAGAGAACCTGGCTGTAGGTTGTCTTCTATGTGCTCAGACACTCACACAGCAGCTTAGGAATTGCCTTGCTGGTAACAGCAGAGGAAGGAGCAAGATCCAGTAGTCGGGGGTGTCCGGTTTTTGGCTTCCCTGGGCCAACTTGGAAGAATGAGAATTGTCTTGGGACACACACCAAATATACTAATACTAACAGATGATTAGTTTTAAAAAAATCATGTAATGTTTTAAGAAAGTTTTTTTTTTTTTTTTTTGAGACGGAGTTTCGCTCTTGTTACCCAGGCTGAAGTGCAATGGCACGATCTCGGCTCACCGCAACCTCCGCCTCCTGGGTTCAGGCAATTCTCCTGCCCTAGCCTCCTGAGTCGCTGGGATTACAGGCACATGTCACCATGACCAGCTGATTTTTTGTATTTTTAGTAGAGACAGGGTTTCACCATGTTGACCAGGATGGTCTCGATCTCTTGACCTCGTGATCCACCCGCCTCGGCCTCCCACAGTGCTGGGATTACAGGCTTGAGCCACCGCACCCGGCTGTTTTAAGAAAGTTTACAGGTTTGTGTTGGGCTGCATTCAAAGCCATCCTGGGCCACATCCTTGTCCCGTCCTGTTAGGGTGGTTTGGACAAGCTTGTGGTAGATCAATCCTTTCAGTTAGGGTGAAACAGTACTGGTTTTTGAGTTAAGAGACTAGAATTTTAGTCCTAGCTATTTCGTTATCTTTTTAGTTTTTAATCTTTTCTTTGTCCAGATTCTAAAAGGCCATGATTCCAAATTATTGTTAGTGACCTACATACATACATGCGTGCATGGATACACGCACGCACATGCGCACACACGTATAAATGCTGTTGTACTGGATTTTACAACGGGTAAAGACAGTAGCGTGTAAATATTACTTATTTTATGAAAACCAAACAGCCTTGGTGTTTAAGTCAGAAGGAACATGAGGTTCACTTACAGTCTAATTTTCAAACGTCAGCGCGTTGAAATTTGTGATCTACAGGACAGATTCCTGTCTGTGCAGATAGTAACTTTTTATAAGTATTCATTGTTTTCCCTTTTGTTTGTGGATGTTACTTCACTGAGTCAAATCACAAAATTAATTTTTGGCCAGAGAAATTCTATGGTGCTCTATTTTTTTAATGATTTACTTATATATAGATTTACCAGGCTGTATGTTCTTGGAATCCAGTTTGTGGAACAGTTTGATTCATGTGTTTCTGTCTCCTTAGACGACATTCCAGACTCTCCCTCTAGCCCGAAAGTTGCCCTTCTTCCACCTGTCCTGAAAAAAGTTCCTTCAGACAAGGAGAGAGATGGTCAGAGTAGCCCCCAGCCCAGCCCCAGGACATTTTCACAGGAAGGTAAGGATTTCTTTTCTCTGGGTCAGGTCCCCCCAGTGAGGGGCATTTCAATATCGAGAAATTCATCCTGGACTTTACTCATATCTTAGAGTTTGTTAAAGTCAACATCCCTTGGGTTAAACTTTTAGAAATGGAGTAGTTTCTTAGTTCAGAAACTTGATTCAGCATTATTGATGACATTGGATCTTAATGACAAATGAAAAAAAAAAACAGCCAAGACACCCAACCCAAGGGTCTAACTTCTTTGCAAGAATAACAGACATGGACATTCTCAGGGCGTCCGTGCACCAATTTGCTCCTTCTAATTTGCTGAGGTAGAAGCACAGCATGCTAATCCTGAGATAGGAATGCTTTCTTCCCAAATCAGATTGAGCTGTCACCAGTTATTATCAGAGGTGAGGCATGGTTGTGGCTTCAGCACACATGCCATTTCTTTTATAAGTAATAGTCTTATCCACAGTAAGTTAATCATAGACATCATCCTGACGTGTTATTGACTTTTGGGTTCTACCCTATGTAATGCGTAGTGTAAATGCCATCTGTGAGCCCCACCTATAAAGAAATTCTAGAGCCACACCAGTCATCTACACCCGGAAGGCTCTCATTGTGGTTTGAGAGTTGCTATGTTTTATTTTAGATTTATTTAATGCTTTAGAATTCTGTGATCTCTCTGACTCTGTTCTCTTCCCATATTGGCCTGTTTTCTTTTATTGGTAATAGTATTGGGTTGAAGTTAGTAGAAAGTGTCACTGAATACTGTCTTTGTGGCTTGGAAATCTAAGGAAAGCAATGACACTTCCTGCTTTCTCATCTCCATCCTACAGATTTATTTGGTGGGTAGATGTTTCACTCACCTATTTGCTGTAAATAAAAGATGGTGGGGTTGAAGCCAAAGCTGCTGAACCACTTCTGTCAAATACAGAAATAAAGCTTTCGAAAGGTAGCTGGTATCTATAGTCATTTGACATGAGGCAGATGAATACAGCGTTCAGCATAATAATCAAAGCCTTTGGAAGACTTGGTTTAAAGAAAGGACCTTTGTTGGTGCCAGCTCAGAGAGACTTGAGATGGCAAGTATTCTGTGACAGTCCAATTGTCACCACCAAGTTCCTCCCTATTCCTCCCCTAATTTTCCATTCTTTCTGCAACTGCTGACTTTGCATCTCTGCTTTTAAGGAAGTGTTGAAAATGCCCAAAAGAGTCAGTTGGAGAGAAAAAGGAAAGTGAGGAAGAGCTGGCAGTGCCAAGTAGGAATGTTCATTCATCTTGTCCAAAGCAATTGAAATGTTGCAGGATTTGCAAACACAGAAGAAAAAAGATCAAACGGTTGAATACAAAAATCATTGTTGTAACATTTCTGGAAAATGATGTTTTCTAGTTGTCTATAGAGATCAAAACAGGGCCTAGAGTAGCCCACTAGCCTCACACGTACAAATATGTAGCGTGGAGCCTCTCTAGTTAACAGAGTTGGGGAGATACTGGATACCAGTGCAGGCTTTTAGCTGCTCCGAAAAAGTCGAGTATTCTTTCCTCAGGAAGTTAGAAATAGAATGTGTTACCCCTTAAACGTTTCAGAGCTTTAGGGGTAGATGTTTGATTTCCTTCCTCATCCTTCTCCCTCCCCCAGTAGCAAGTCTTAGGAATGGCTCACACTCCCTTCTTTCCATTCGGGCAGTAGGGATGGCTGAGCTGTTGAGACCATCGCTTTCCTATCTAGGATGCAGAACAAGGCAATCATAGACATCATCCTGATGTTATCACTTGGTATTGAAATTGAACTGAAAATATACATGAAGTCTGGGAATAGACTAAATGTCTGAGGTGGTAAGATTTTGACATTATTTATCAGCTTGTCTGCTAAGGTGGCCCAGAAATGGCAGCCACTTGTGAGCTCTCTTTTTCTTTATCAACTGTCCCTATTGTGCTCTTTTCTGTTTTCTAATCTATTATTCATGCTGGTTATTTCATTACTTCATTTCCCTGTTCTTTGCCTCCCTTTGGACTAGCGTGCCCAACTAATTTCTGAAACAGGTAAATTGTTATGATTCTTCTGGATTATTCTGTAGTGAATGTGATTTTCATTAATCCATTGTGGAATCAAAATGGTTATACTGGGGCCTTTTTATTAATACTTTTTTGGGGCAGACTCAGAGCTCACCTCATTTTACACGACATTTCCATAATGTTGGCTGTTGAATTCTGTAGATAATGATATATATCTGCCCAGGACCAACACTGTAGGTTCCTTGAATCCTAAGTGGGGCGGGTAAGCTGATATTTAATTTTTAATATTTATATTTTTAAATATTAATGTCAACACATTGATGTATGTGCTAATATAAAGGGTAAAATAAATCCCTTTTCCTCAGTAGTGCAAAGAGGAGATTATTACAAAAGACATTCAGATCATGACAGTGGCAAGCCTTCCAGTAGAGGGAAAAGATCTTCAAAACTGTCCTCCACCATTGCAGAAGAGGAAGTGAATGCAATTGGGCACAGGAAGTCACAGCCAACAAATGGTTAGAGCCTTCGATTATCATCCCTCACTGACCCGAAGCTTATGAACTGGCACTAACAAAAACAAACTTTAATTGAGTAACTTCAGTCATGGGACTGGGTCAGGGATTAGTCATACAAGAGAGTTTTGTTTGCTTTTTTGGTTTTTCTAACTCTCAACAGGATGGTCCTTTTATTTGAGGCAAATATAAATATATATATTGACTTAAAAATCTAAAATTAGAAATTCTTATGAACAAGATCAAGTTACTCTGGTGACTTGTCCTTTCAAATTTTGGTGATCATGCAAGTTTATTTTTATAATTGGGGTTAGACCTCCTATTCTCTTCCTTATAGCTTTACTCTCCTGTTAGGTTTTAACCGTAGTTAGATCAGAGATTTTTAGAATGACAGAGGTTATATCCTTAGAGAATACTAGCCTAGCATCTTACACCCTTTCAGGAAAGGATCAATAAAAAGTCACTGACTCGATGCAGACATTGGGTCATGCACATAATCTTTCAGTGGCCACTTTATCACCCTTAGTAAGAAAGAAAAAGTACCAGTTAACTTGTCAACCTTCAGGAACAATTTATTCCATTTTCTAGGAGTTACTCGCTGACTTCTGTCTTTCATCTGCCCTTGTAGTAAATTCTGTAAAATTCTGTTCAGGTGATAACAATTCCAAGAGACAAAAAGGAGACAGATTTCAAATCGGCTTTGCCATCCAGTGATGAGAATTTAAGAACAAGTATTGCTGACTCAGAGAAAAAAAATGTCATTTTTGTGCCTAACGTACTCATCTCCTCCCCGGTTAATAAAACTTTTTATAAATATGACTTCAAAAATCCTTTAAAGAAAATCTTAGTATCTTTAAAGGACTTCTGCTTTTGGAATGAGGCCCTTTTCTTCTTATAAAACCATATGGGGATAATAGATGTGTATATTTAGGCTCCTGGGAATTATATGTGGTCTAGCATTCAGGCTGTAACAGCTTGCCCTTCACAGCCTCCCAAGAAAGCATTTCAGAACACAAGCTAATGGGAGTGACCTTATTATAGGACTACCTTCTCTTTACTGCAAAGGGATAAACCATTCTCGAATTTTCACTCTTTACTATTGATAATAAAACACTTCACAGCTTAACAGCCCAGTGAGTTATGATACCTGAAGTAGAAACTGCTGTCTTTGAGAACTTTTCTTGATACAGGTTTTAAAACAAAAAAGCATCTACCAACTGCCTGCCAGGGACAACATTTGGAGCCTGCCTTCTCAGCCAGTGCCATGAGATCAGCCACGTGTGCTCACTTGCCTGGGGTTCCAGCATATACTAGATAGGTGGTGGGGTGGGTTAAAGACACCACTCAGAGTGTAAAGCAAAGTCTATAGGACACATAAGGATAAAACATTCTGTTTGGGCCAGGTAGCTCCTGCCCTAAAGAGAGCCAATTGAATTGACCCTTTACTTTTACAGAAATTCCTATGTAGTAGATTTGCTTATAGACACGTAGTTACAATAACTCCTGTCTACGTGAAAGTTTCTCTCACATTACCAGAAAAATCTCTGTCTTCAGTCCTAGGAAAGTTACATAAATAAACACCGAAGACATTTATTTTCTGATGAGTTATTTTTGAGAATTTATTAGGCCAGAATCTCTGTCTCTGTATTGCCTCATTTGTTAAGAACAGCTAAGGCTACATAAATGTTTTTAGATTCTGGAGCTTTACATTTGAACTGTTATTTTCATTGATTTATGTCACTTGATTATTAACAAAGCACCACTGATGCAACGTTCCTTCTTCCAGAGGCCACTAAAAGCACTTTATACAACACAAAAAGAGGCGCACCCTGCCCGCCCCGCCACCTGCCACCCAGTGCCCACTGATCATCCAGTGAGGCTTTGGGTTAGAGTGAACAGGGGACAAACACAGAGATAACCCAAATTATAGAAAAGCAAGGAGAAGAAATTCTATATCTGTCTCAGATTTGTTCATGAGCTGCTTAGCTTAAAATTCTTATTGTGAGGTACTGGTCAAATGATGGAATTAAATAGGACCATCTTGTATTTACTTTTCTGCTTTGATTTCTTGAAATAATGACAGGCATTAAGAAGTAATTTTTACAGGAGATTTAGTTTAAGTGATTTTATGAATAATATTTTAATTATGTTTTGTTAGTGCCGATTCCTAGCACTTGACTGTCTTCACCTTTGAGAACTGCATCGCAGTCTGCTTTCTGAATAGTTCCTGGTTAAAAAGAATGACATTTAGCAAATCAATTCTATTAAATAATTGCATGTACTTTCTTTTAAGTCTTTTAAGAGCAGCTTTGTGTACACCAAAATGCCTTCTGATTTTTGTAAATCGTGTATTCATGAAACAAACAGAGGCTATTCTCTAATACTGTTCTCAAAGCATGCTGCATATTTTTATGAATATTATGTTTTAATTGTGTGGCTATTATACTGATTTGACAGTTAAAATGCTTAATTTCTTTTACTAAAAATATTTGAAAGCACTTTTTTTCATTTCATATCATTTCCTCTCTACATTTGATTATAAGTTGTTATGTTTTTGTAACAGTATATCCTATTTTCTTGAAGAAAATAGTGCTTTTGGCTTTGAATGCATTGTAATGGCTCCTTTTGTACAGGGTATCTGATTCTGAGATTCCTTTTCCATGTCACTTGTCTCTTCCATAATCCAAGCTGCAGCCAATAAATACTTGGCTGTGACTTGCAGACTGTAAGCCAGTGCTCTGCTCTGCTTTTTCCACCAGATTCAAGTTCTGCTTCCCTTAAGTGAGTTCTTGAAGATAAATTTAACGGTTGGCATTTTGGGCTCTTGCTAGAAAGTATAAAAAATCAGGGCCAACTACTGAATGCTATTTTAAGGTCATAGTGTTTTTCTTATGGAAAATATGGATGTCAGTGGAACTCACAATGGAGAAAATACCAAATTTTCATGATTCTCTAATTCTGCATTTATGTGCATATTTCAGATTCTTTAAAATTATCTCATACATGCAATGTCAGATCATCCTCAAGAATAACAGATTTCATGTTCAAGCCTCTCCATAACAATTACTGCCACTATAGACAGGATGTATGTATACATGGAGTGTTTGTGTTGAATGATTACCTGTTCATTTACTCAATTAACTTTAATAGTGTGTAAAATGGTGATAAATATGTGTGCAGACACACGCTTAGAGATGCTGCAGCACTCTTAATGCTTGCATTGAAAAAGTGTTTGTGGAATAATCGGATTTTTTTTTTTCACCCTGTTAAAATCAAGCATTAAATCAAGCTGCCTAAGAGGAGCTCTGATTGAATTTGTAAAAAGTCTAAATCTTATAAATATTAAAAAATAAATTCTAGCCAGGCATAGTGGTTCACACCTGTAATCCCAGCACTTTGGGAGGCTGAGACTGGAGGATGGCTTGAGGCCAGGAATTTGACACCAGCCTGGGCAAGAAATGAAACTCTGTCTGTACAAAAATAAAAAATCAGCTGGGTGTGATGAGGTACACCTGTAGCCTCCCCTGCTCTGGAAGCTAAGACAGGAGGAGCACTGGAGCCCAGGAGTTTGAGGCTACAGTGAGCTATGACTGAGCCAAGTGAATTCCAGCCTGGACAACACTCAGTATCTATAAATGGGTAAATGCATAAATGCTTGCATGCTTACATACATGCATACATTCATTCTGGAGTTTTAAGTTTCAAACAGACATAATTCTATTAGACCATCCTTTACTAGAGGCCTGACTAAACCTACTTCAGTATAGTTATAGTAACATCTTAATTACATGGAATCAAATAGATGTTCCCTTAGGGCTGGAAAACAAACAACAAAGAAGTTCCCCTACGAAGTTGTTCACGTTAGGGATCTTATCCCTTAGGGATAAGACTGGAGACTAAAAGACAGACTGCTTTGACTTTCAGACTCATCACATTAATTGCATAACTTTAGCTCCTCGATCTCGTTAGTTTTTGTGTCCTTGAATGTTGCTTACCTCCTAGACTATGAACATGTCATCCTGCTACCTGTCTCATTACATGCACAATCACAATTGGTAGAGTTTAATCAATGGAGGTGAATATACTTAGAATGAATTTCTAAATAAAGTCACCACTGTAGTGAAATTCTTTCACAGCCCCCTTGAAAGAATATGTCATCTTTCCCCCTACAGTCCCTGAGTCCTGGAGAATTGGGAAGCCCAGTGTCAGTGAGTCAAAAGAATCAACATTTAGTTGGAGACTGAGGGACAGCCTACTTTTTGCAGGAAGATTTCTGTGTTGGATGTCTTTGAATTTTAATCATGCCTGCTCTAATGACCCTTGTCTATAGGGTTGTCCCAGTTTTCTGTGACATGAACACTGTTGGTTACTTGAATTTTTCCAGTTTTAGATGGTACTCTTATGTTGTGTCATACAACATAAGAAAAATACTGGGAAGAATGAAAGAATATTTTTTCATACAACATAAGAAAAAACAAAAATGTTGGGAAGAATGAAAAGTTTGATTATCCTTTAAATCTAAGAATTAGAACAAATGTATTTGCTCTGAAGACAAAAGAGCAATATATTATATTTATTTCTTCCCTTGAATTTACAGTGTGTTTTTGAGTCATTTGATAGAGATGAACAACTTATTTTGGTTTTAAAACAATGAAAAACGATTTTCCAGCAGATCTCACAAGATGTGCTCTAGTTTGAGGTTGGGTTTATTGCAAAATGTTTTCAGGATAAAAATAATAAAAATCTTCCCTACTTTCTTTTATCCTTAGTAATTAAAGGATTCCTGTCTATTAGTATCAAATTGGTTTTGTGATAAAGGACAAAATATTTATAGGCATTTACTCACCTTCATTCTCCAAACCTGGCCTACTGACAGCTTTGAAAGGACCAAACAAGTGCATTTAATTTTTTTTTTTACCCAACACAAGCTTAAAAATAGAAATTGCACTTCAGTTTGAGTGACAGAGCAACACCCTGTTTCTAAAAAGAAAAAGAAAGAATAGTAGAAATCAATGATAATATTTCTTTGTTGCTTTCTTCCCCCAATTTGAGAATTTGCCTGAAACTGTTAGAAGCAAAGAAGACAGAATTTAAGAAATTACATACTTTATTATCAGATTTGAAATATTTTTTCTTTTCAGAATTTTGAGTCATTTCAATTTAATTTCATTAGCTAAAAATTTAAATTTTTATTGTGTAAATACCAGAATCTGGCTCTAATACCAGTATTGGCAAGAGAAGTACTCTATTAGGTTTGCATTTTGACTATTAGGTTTAATGAGCTTTCACTTCCTGAAATACTCCTCAGGGGGTTAAACATTTTAATAGCCAGCTCCTGGCAAGATGAGTTTTTGTTTTTTTTTTTTTAGCAGAATGCAAAAATCAAGTGATTAGAAGCATCAGATAAATCCTATAGCTTTTAAAGGACTGATAAAGTGCGTTCCTGTTTGGATCATTTGAACTTCCGAGTGATGAGATAGCTGTCCTCTTCCTTCAGGCTGCACAAAGTGTGTGGGTTTAGTATTTTTAGCTCAAGAGCTGTCCGTACAATAGACAAGATGAATAGTGTTTAATAATCCTTAATAGCTATGTTGGAGTACAGCATTCGAATCTTTTCCCCAGGTATCATAGCAGTGACATCATGTTCTAGTTGGAAAGAACATGGGCTTTGGAGAGACAGATCTTGTTTAAATCCTGGTTTCAAGTTTTACAAAACCTACCTTACAGAAGGTAATTGTGAGCAATAGCGATAATAAACAGTGAGCGCCTAACATAGAACAGAGGCTCAGTTCCAGTAATGATTCTCCCATCATTGCTTTGTAAAGCCTCAGTAGATTCCTCATATTTATGTGTAATCAGAGCAGGCAACAATTATGGTAATTTTACCTGGAGGGTGATTCCAAAATGGTTGAATGTGTCATAGGCAGTATTTAATGCATTTTCACTGACTTCATTCATTTCCTAGAGGGTGAAACTAAGGTTTTCTGAGTCACAGAAAGGTCTGACAAAGATTTCTAGGGACTTTGCTGACATCCTGCCCCACAAGCAGGAATGACAAACCCTAAATCATCTGCAAAAGGCATCTAGTGGGATATCTGTCCAGCCAGCTTCTCGTCAAGGCTCTGTCTGCCCTGTTCTCTCTGCTGTGTGAGGGTACAGCTGCAGCTGAGGAGGTCACCAGGAGCAGAACAGCTTCAGAGCCATCCTCCTTCCTGGTATCCCCCTCCGCTTCCCCACCATCCTTGCCTGAGGGGTTCTCACCTCAGATTCTTGTCCACATCTGTGAGAGGTTCGCCCTGTCATAGGCTGTGTTTTTGTGTGTGTTTTCTCGTTTTGTTTCTGCTTTGTTGGTTTGTTTTACATTTCTGTCTAGAGTCTCCAAACATAATAGCCAGTTTGTTTCTGAGAAAGTTCACCCTGACCCGCTCCCCTCCCCCAAATCTTCAAGCCTCCTGTATCTCAGCCCATTGTCAGTCAGGCCATTGGTATTACTTTGCCAATAAACTGTGCGACTTCCCTTTCTATTTCAGTTTCAAGGAGGAGCTGGGGCCAGCAGGCCCAAGAGTATCAAGAACAAAAGCAACGGTCCTCCAGTAAAGATGGCCATCAAGGCAGCAAATCTAGTGACTCCGGGGAAGAAGCAGAAAAAGAGTTTATTTTTGTGTAAAGCTCAGCCATGCAGAAGGCTTCCTGTGTGGGGTGCTTTGGTAGCCATCAGAGAGGAACAAGGGCAGCACCTCTTCTTCCGAGGCGTTCTCGCGGTGCTTTAGTCTCTTGCTTTTTCTTCTTTTTTCTTTATTTCTCCCCCTACCCATATCCCCTGCCGCCTTTTTTTTTTTTTTTTTTTTGGTATAGAAACGAATCCATTTCTTGGTAATCAAAGCACATTTCTTTGGTCTTCCTCCAACCCTTGGCATTTGATTTCTAAACATTCCTTCATATGCCTTTAATGAAAGCCAGCAATTATCCCATGGGCCCTACTTGAATTTCTCTGAGGCAGCTACAGATTGCCCTGCAAGATGAGTTTTTGGAGATAAATGAAATAACTGGACACACACTCACACAAGTAACACCACAGCAGACCACGGAGTACTGCTGAGTGTACCTGTGTCGAATCCGCACAGGACTCCATATAGCAATTTATTCTTGATGTATGCAATTGCACATTGTAATTATATTAACAGAGCACACTAATAATTTGTATAAATTATATATATTAGATCTTGGGTATGGTTTTTACATTCTCCCGTGGGAAACTTCTTCCCTCCTGGTGTGGAATTGTACATTTAAAGCTTGGTTGGTGACCTTTGCATCAATGAGCACAGCTGAGAACCAGTGAGAAAGCCCACGGCTGATTTTACCATGTGCCCAGATTAATGTATATAGTTGATTGGAATGAGGTTTTATGAATATTCATGTTTTTGAAGGCCTTTAATTTCTGTCTGCATATTAGCTTTTAATGTGTGATTTTAAGAGAGAATACTTTGACACCTGTGAAAATCAAAATACTACTCTTTATAAGACATTTCACGAATATTCACTTACATTACAGGCTGGAAGTATTTTATTCATATGTATATTTATACCAATAAAATGATTTTACAAGTGGAATTTGGACCTTCTCCAGTTACATTTTTAGTTTGGACTAGCTCAGGGTGGTGAACTTTGGTTTTGTTTCCAGAATCCAAAATAATCAAACTTCTCAGATAACCAATCTGGGAACCATTACCTTCAAAGTAAAGAACTTACTAATACCACTGCCTGTTTTCACCTCTGGGAAAAATGATAAAATTTACCAGAAGAACATAGGATTCTGAGTTTGATGGAGCTCCCGTTACCGTTAGTCAGGGTCATATGAGGGATGCAAGTATGCAAAGAAAGATGATTTGCAGAGTGGCAGGTGGTGGTTATCTACTGGAAAGAAGAATGATGGACGATGCGTTGGCATGACGTGGCTGTTGCCCCCACCATCCTTCTCCACCTGGGTGCCTGGCATATGAGTAAGTGCCCATAATGTGGACCAGATGGTTTGCTGCCTTTGCCTGACCTCGTGAGGGCAGAAAGACACAGGATTGTTCCTCCAGCTGCAGCTCCGCTGTCATCAGTGCTGATGGGAACAAGCACCCTCATGGCTGCCACACTGGGAGAAGCATCAGAAGACAAAGATGGGCACGACGCCTCCATGAGCTAAAGGCTGTGAGGAAACAGACCCATAACCCAACCAGAAACAATGCAGCACGACAGAACCATACTCATTACAAACAGTGGTGTGGGAAGGGGTTCCATCTGCCTGTGCTGCTCAGGAGCCTCAGAGGAGGCAATGTTTGTGCAAGGCCTTGAAGTCATACCTTCCTAAGTACAGTAACAGTGTCTGATTCTTGGTCATACCCCCTGTAAATGTATGATGTGACCCATATTAGACAATAGAGAATAATAGGAAGATACAGAAAGTGCTCACAGAGCAGTCCAGTTCACGTCACTGAGACCGCTTTGTGGTAAAAGGCACATGTGCTGCTGGTTAGGACCTCTCTGAGTTTCAGTGTAAGAACTATTCCCAAAGAGACAGTGGAGAGAACCTGGGTAGTGAATAGCCTTGGTGCTTTACTATGTAGTTGGACCCTGACTCTATGCAGTAGAAGCCATTGCATTTTTTAAAGCAATAATGTAATCAGAGCTAAGATGTATAGAGAGAGACCCTGTAGATTAGAGGCAGGCATCCAGTGAAGTGGCTGAGCAAGGATCCTTAATCATTCTCCCTCTGCTGTGGTGGTCAAGAGGTACCCACTCAGATGCTCCTTCAAGAGAACTTGGCTATGGGGAGCATGTGGGGACCGACCACGGCTAGCAGGATCCAGCTGCCACACCTGAGACCCTCTCCGGTGGTTATGCTGCGGCTGGGCCACACACACTCCCCTGGCTTCTCCCTGCCAACCCCCAAGGACGTTTGGTTTCCTAGGGCTGCCCAACACGGGACTCTGCTGGGCAACTGTTTCTCTAGTGCCCTCCTGCGGCCTGGCCAAGGCTTTCTCAGGGCTGCACCAAAGCTCTCCCTATCCACATGTCCTTTCCTCATTCCCCATCTTCTTTTACAGGTGATCAGCCTGAATGTGGTTTGAAGGCAGTCCCCACTACAGTGGCCCACTTTAATCTTTCACAGCCATTTCCCCCAGTAAATAAGTATGCTGTGGTCTAATCCCATCTTGGCACATGCTTCTTGGAGGGCCTGGACTGACACACATCTCCATATTCTGTCAGCCATCAATCAAGAATATATGCACTTTGGGAAGTCAAGGTTGGTGGATGAACTTTGATGTCGGGAGTTCGAGACCAGCCTGGCCAACATGGTAAAACCCCATCTCTACAAAAACTACAAAAATTAGTCGGTCATGGTGGTGGGCACCTGTAACCCTAGCTACTTGGGAGACTGAGGCAGGAGACTCAACTTGAACCTGGGAGGGGAGGTTGCAGTGAACTGAGATCATGCCACTGCATGCCAGCCTGGGCAACAAAGACTTCGTCTAAAAAAAAAAAAAAAAGCATGGAAAAGCAGCTTTACCATGTATATCTGCTGAGCTGGTGGCTAGCAGATCTTTCCTCAAAATGTGTGGGCTTTTGTGTTTGTGTTGTGAATATATTAGAATTTGTGACATGTCCCTAAAAGAAAGATGCCCTTAAGGCAGAGTGTACTAATTAACTTCTTGAGGTCCTTTGGGATTTTGACAAAACAGACACCAGCTTGGTTCCTGTTACCCTCGTAAAGTGCCAGTAGAAGTGAAGAGAGCCATGCCTGCCTCTGGGAACCCTGTGAAGCTAAGTGCTGGAGCAACAGTGGAGCCCATCCGGAGCTGTGGCTCCCAGAGAACCCACTTGGACCAGCCAGATGAGCCAGGCTGCTCCTGGAGCAAGGGTAGGAGCCTCCCAGAAAACCCCTAGAATACTAAACCACAGATAATCTTTTCTTTGTGCCATGTATAAAACTTAAGAATGAGAAGGATTTCATAATTCACCTCTCGGATATACTAAGCAGGGGCCAAATAATCTAGGAATCGTTTGATCACTTATTCTGGGGATGCATTCATTGTGCAGCTTTTGAGCACGCTGACTTAACAAATTTTATTTTTACTTAACATTGATGAGTTTGGGTCTACTAGCAAGGGACCCAGCTGGCCAGCAATTGGTGGGGCGTGTGTCAAGTGTTGGCAAGTACTCAATTGTAATTAAAAATTGGCCAGAAGAGGACAATGGGCACGTGGTTCAATTAGGAAGGGACAGACAACTCACAGTGGGTAAGACATTCTCATGGCTGCCCTGCCCTGTGTTGGCTCATTTCCTCAGGTGATCCAGCTCCTTTTGTTAGCTATTCACTTAACACTCCGTCTGCAAAACAGCAGATCCAGAGAAGGGAAAGAGAATACTTTTTTTAAAAATTTTTTTGCAGAGAAGAAAGAAATGGATGGCAACAGGAAATCTCAGTAGGCAGGACAACCCTGATTTTCACCTGAGACATTACACCTGTTCTCAGTCCCAAGTGTGAAAATCCTAAATTGAGGTGTCCTTGAAAGGATATTTCTTTTTAACACTTTTTGACTTGCTAGATTGAAAGCACTGCCCCAGTGTGGCCTTTATTCATCCTCAGTCTTTCTTTGCTTTTTCCCTCAGAGCAAGAACATGAACCAATGCCTTCAATGGCTGTAGACTGTAATGCTGGCCTCCATTTCTACTCTCTTTAAAAGGTGCTGTGAAAACAGTAGAAGTTTCCTACATGCTCACTGTTTTCTCTGCCATGTTTAGGGCCCTGCTCTTCCTGAATTATTCCAACAAAAACCCTATCTTCCTGAATTCTTTAGCCCAGAACCCTAGCCCTTGGCCAAACTGCTAAAAACCAGAGCAGGGAGGCAAAGTAGTGAACACAAAGAGCAATGGAAGGAAGGTAATTTTTTCTCTCCCTCATTCTGGTGTTTTGATTTTTTGTTTGTCTCTCCTGAGTTTTGACTGAATAAAGCAAAACTGTAACTAAAAGCCATGCTTTAAGGCAGCCTGGGCTGTCCTCCCCGCTGGTGGTGTAGGCTGGGCAAACTGTGTCGGTAAGCCACGTCATTTTAACATCCCAGCCTTCTGTGACTCTTGGCTCTTATACACGACAGGTCACAACGCTGAGAATGGGGAAAGGCTCCGCTCAGTGAAACAGGCCATAATTTAACCTGCTGGGGCTATAATCAAGGTGAGTTAAGAGGTATGCAGTGTTTGCATCACATACAGACATGGGAGAATGGGGGAATTCGGCTTCTCTGCAAATGGTTATCACTGGCCCAAAGCCAAGGTGGTCTGCCTGGGTTTTGAAGTGTTGATCAGTGTCTAAATCACTAAGCCTCACAATGTAGGGCAAAGCATTTGAGACCTGCAGCTTGCATCTCAAGATTTCTTTGTCTGAGGTCAGATTGTATGTTATTTTGTAATCACAACTGAAATTTGTAGCTTCCTTTCGTTTTTAAGGAAGTTTAATAGAGATTAAGTCTCTAAGCCATACTTGAAAATCGGTCTCATGAAGAAACTCTCCCGAGTCAGAGATTTCTTGAAATCAGTAGAAACAAAATGTGTGTTCTCCAAGGACACTGTCCTTGCTGTTATTGTGCAGTGGCACGTTTGAATAGGACCAGGGTAATCCATACACACTTTCCAATTACAGCTTGTGTTAGGTGTAACTCACAGCGAAGCCATCACTTACTGGGTACACACGGCTTACACTGGGGCCTGTTTCATGCCTCCACACCCAAACCGCTACTAGCAGGATTGCAGGATTAGGCACAACTTTGCACCCCCGTGACATACAGTGATTGTGAGGTCTCTTCTAACAGTAAGAGCATACACTTAACCGCAGTTTCTGGAGATGTGAAGAAAAGAATTCTCTCAAAGACAGAAGCATTGTCAGGGTGGAGGCCACTCAGGTTGCCTATCATGGGATCACAGTGGCCTGGATGCAGAAAACCCACTGCTGGGAAGACATGCTTGACCTTCTAGACATTGAAACCCTGCAGAGGATTCAGAAACGAACTGCACAGGCATTCTTCCATGCAGGAGTGGCCTTACCCATGGCAGTGAGGAAATGGCAGGTCCATGCAGGCAGAAGCTCATCTTGGGGACATTCCTAGACCGTTCCCAAAGGGTCAAAAGGTCTCCCATCCTCTTCCCTCACATCCTCAGAGAAGTGGGGAAAAGAGAGAGACTGCTTTCCACTTACTGAAAGCAAAGAATGTAAGTGGACATTTGACCCTTTGGCCTGACCAGTCCTCACTGAAGCCTGTCCTCTCTGATCAAGTCATTTTGAGGTTGGCTCATCATGTACCATCTCCTTTCCCCAGGTGACCTTCCTCCCTTCCAAGGCTGCAATTCCCACCTTTGCATGATGTTTCCTGCGTCTTTTGCTTTAGTTCCCTCTCTTTACAGCATCGTTAGGGTGACTCACGGGCATCAGAAATGTGGTATGTAACACGGATAATTCGTGAGCATAGGGTGGCCATACGCCATGCCTAGAAATGAGACGATTCAATTCTGTGACACCTGGACAGATCTCTCACTGGACATAGAGGACCAGAACCCCCTGCCTTTCCATT